GCAGCAGCTGATATATGAACTGAATATTTCAAACTTGATTTGAATAGGAATAACAAAAGAATTTTTATTTTACCATGAGAAATGAAAGTATAACTGTTTCTATTGCAACACATTAGTGCTCTGAATTTTTATGTAGACAGCTATAGTCATACACAAGGTATTGCAGACAGTGAAATGTCTCTGGTTATGAATCACCACTGAAAAGCGGAGAAATACAATCTTCATTATAACATTAATGCATACTATTTTTATAATGGCATTGTGGGCGTATGGAAGTTTTATAGCTTTATAAAATGTACTCCATTCCAATTAAAAAATTATTTGATGTTATTAAAAGTCATTAATTTTCAAGTTAGTTCATACATACATTTCCCATTTACAGTACAAATTTATTTAAACTGCTATAAATCCCTTATCAAGTGAATTTTATTCACATTCATCTCACTTTAATTAGATTTTGCAATTATAAAACCGAAGCATATAGTACACTGAAATTGGAAAATACAATGAGATTAAATCAATAAACAAAATGATGAATGAGTAACAATAGCTAATAGTAAAATTTTAAGAGACTACGACTGTGAATGATTGATGGAATGAATAAATAATAATAGTAGTTAGCTGAATAATGATAATAAAGATTAAAAATATAATAATTCTATAAGTCATGCAGAATGAATAATAATAATTAGAAAATAACAGTGATAAAGTAAAAAAACAAAGACTGGAATTCCCAGACAATGGTCCACTTTGCCATCTATGTTGAACTTGGGGGGTACAGCCATGATAGCACTTTAAAATAACTTGACTTGTCTCTTGACTGCATGAAGGCACACTGAGCTAATGTTGAGTGTGTTGACTGCTCAGTAGTTAGATTTAGTAGTAGTCTGTTTTCTCATTATCACAGGCAATGGTTGCATGTTTACAAAAGTTGAAGAGAATAGCTCAAGAGGATATCAGCTTATCTGTAGATCTCAACTGGCATAAAACACAGGCTAATATTATCGACATAGTGATCATCATAAGCATCAGCTTACCTGCATGTACTGAAACTGCAAGATGATAAAGTTCCTATCAAAGACTCAAATCAGAGCTGATAAATTTCTCTCCTGATGCATAGCTATCATTCTTGCAGAAAGATCCGTATAGTTTCCGTGTTGTTCCGTACTTCAATAGAGATCCGCGAGCGTTCCGCGTTGATCCGCATTTCAGCCTGATCCGTATTTGATCCGCGTGGATCCGCATTTCAGGCAGGCCCCAATATGGATTGCTACCGGGGCGTTTATTCGAATGCGGCTTCTATTTAAGGATTTACGGTATATGTTTTAATAAAATAATCTATGATCTAAACACAATAAGCAAAATACCGTATACTGGGAAATTTTCGAGTAGCCAAATTTTCGCGAATTTCGCGTTTTTTGCTTCGTCGCGAAAATAAAAATCGCGAAATTCTAAATTTCCATTGCCACATGGTGGAGTTTACAGGCTATTCGCGAAAATATTATTTCGTGAAATCTTACAAATGCAAAATTCACGAAAATTTAGCGACGCGAAAATATCCCAGTATACGGTAATGACTCTGAATAGGTCAGAGTTATTTTTGAGAAACTAAAAAATTCATTTTAAAAAAATCCAATTTCAATCAATCAGCTCAAACTTGCTACACAACATAAGAATAATGTATGCATATTTATAGAAAAAATTTAAAAATTGCAGGAGCAAAACTTGAAATTCTAAAACCCCAATTTTAATTGGAATCAGTTCACAGAAAATAATCATAACAAAAATGGAGAATTCTCTCATAGCAATTATTGATGAAATTTGGTCAATGACCATGCATGTACCAGATAGTACAGGGCATCAGAATCAGCTCAAACATGATAAACAAATAAAGCATAAAACACGGTGACCATTTTATACGTCTCAGTATTGTTCTATAATGTATTTTGCTACCTACAGCTGGTACATGACACAATAAATTCCTTCTCAGTCTTTTTCAGTAATACGTAGATCTAGATCTAGATCTGACCCGTACAGTGATCTGTAGATCACTCCACTGACGGGTCTTCCTAGCTCTTATGCAGCCAGCTCCACCCCTAGGCTAAAGGGTGGGGCTGGCTGAGTGCAGTGACAGGCTGACAGGCATCATAATTGTACTGGCATCATGATCGGAGTCATACTAGCCCTCATCTTTCTTAGACATTGTGCTGGACAAAGTAAGTATAAATTTAAATGCTTTAGCATTTATTTTATAGTTATAGCTATAACAGTTCAGCCAATGTCCATTAATACAACTATCAACTCCACTGTCAATTTTACTTGTGAGGGTGTTGGTACTGAAATTACCTTTAGATTACAGTTTAATTGAGAAAACGAGACTAGAGGAGCAACTGATGAAATTGTCATAGATAGAGGCTTTTCTTTTGAAACATCTATAATGATAATGATGCAAGAACTGCTCAACTACAAGGAACAGCTTATGAATTTAACAATAATACAAGTATCAGATGTAGAGTTGATACCAATAATGCTAGCCTTTCCAGCGATGTAGCAATATTACTGATACAAGGTTAGTTTTGTCCTTAAGAGCTAATTTGTTTTACATAAAAATGATACATTAACAATGTGTAATGTCAGTGCCTATACTAACTGCTAAGTGCAATGCTAGCTGAATTGTAACCATGATGATTAATCAATTATACACATAAGCATATCAGTATGCTTATGTTTGTGTTAATTCATTATAGGTCTATTGGATAGTGTTGTTGATCTGGATTATACCTTTATCGATGGATCCAATGTATTATTAACATGGACAGCTCCTTATACACTGGATAATGTACCAATCACTGGATACTATATAGTAGTTAATGGATTAGTGAACATTACTACTAATGATAATAATACTAATATTATATTATCAGCTACTAATCCTGATCCTTGTTTATTAAATAATGTATCAGTTTCTCCTATTAATGATGTTGGAATAGGTTCATCTAATAATATCAGTTTTTATTATGAAACAGGTTAGTCCTATTATGGCTTCATGTATATGTTTACAGCATTCCCTTTTAAGTCTCTCCTGTTATATCAGTACATGATGTACATTTAATACCAGTTTGTGATGAAGGACTAATATACATCAGCATTAATGTAAGCATAGTCATCAGATATTCCACTCATGTGATAAGCATGTGTTGTTTTTATACCCAACACACAATAGGTCAGCACTATATGTGAAAGGGAGTATCCTGATTCTATAGCAGTTATTATACTCAATAGTGATAGCAGTACAGTAATAAATAATGTTACTATTATACCACAAGTTAATTATCAACTGATGATAGCAACTGGAAATACTTCAATACCATCTTGCAATGAGACATTAATTGTTAATGTATCATTGAGTAATACTGAAGGAACTCTTAATGTAATGTCACCTTTTAAATTTGGTAATAAATTATCTTCTTTCTAGACTTTTTATTTTTCATTTTCATTAGTTTATCTTGGACCAGTTATCCACTCTTGCTAACATTGACTTCTCAATTGTTAATTGTTCTACTATTGATATAACATGGACTGCTCCTACAGTTGATGATAGAGTAACTATACAGTATTACATACTAAGAGTATATGATTCTATGACTAGTAATCTAGTGGATATTGTATCGGTATATGATACCAGTTATCAGTTTGTGGATAATAATTTATTTGATCATCATTATACATATGTCATAACTGGAGTTAGTAAATTAGGAGAAGGAATATCTAATAATAACACATTCTCATATCAAAGAGGTACAATATTTTAAAGCCTTAAGTGCATAAGTGTCTGTTGTCTATAATTAGGCTGAATTTAATAATTATGCATGCAAAATAGAAGTAAATGCATTTGTGTTTTAATAGTTCCAAGATTGGCAGTGGAGACAGATTTTATGGTGAATTATACACAAAATCAAACAGTTACAGTCAGTACTGTTTATTACAAAATCTCAGTAAGTAATGACACTAATCATTATTATTATTATTATTATTGTCTTATACCAGATTGCAATAGAGAGTACTAGTAGAGCTCCTGTGAATATTACATTTACTATCGAGTGCAATGAAACTGGAGATGTGTATGATAATACTACACTAGTGGAGAATCCTATAAAAGGATCAGTACCAGTACCTCTTTATGATAATTGTTCATTTATTACTGTTGTTAGCAACTGCACTGGTAGTAGTGAACGGTTTCAAAGATCATTTAGTAAGTATACATGTACATGCAGTTGTTAATTTATTTATCATCTATAGACACTACCCATCCTCCTACTATCAGTACTACACCATCACCTACTAATACACCTACATCTGATGGTAATAACCAAACTAAACTATATTTTATTATACACTATACTTCTGTAGATAAATCTAGTACTAAGATTGTGATTGCTGTTAGTGTTATTTTAGGCATCGCGGTATTAGGTCTTGTGATAGTATTCATAATTGTGATTGTGATATGGTTACATAACAAAAGATCTAAAAGGAATGGACAGGTAAGTAATTCTTGCACTGTT